GTGCATTCGCAGGATGGTTACCCGGTGTCAAGTCAGTGAACGCACAGGAACTGGTACTTAAAGGCCTACATTAAGTTGAGTCATGGAGGGTCTCAGATTAATGAAACGATTGAAAACTGGGCCATGATGATTTAAGACTCGTCTGTTTCACGAGTTTAGATAATTTTCCTCGGCTGGGTGAATATGCATTGATGCCTAAGCTCTCTAAGCTAAGCTTAACTCGCGCGCGTGGAACCTTACGTCGATTCCGGGGCGGGGGGGGGGGGGGGCATTTAGTAAAGCGTGAGAGACACACGTAACAGCCACATGTACCAAATGCCGCTAGCGTGGCGCGGTGGTGGCGTTAGGCTAGGTAGTCTGCGTGTGTTAACAGTATTTCAATATGTGTACTACAGATGTCAACTTATCGCAGTAGTTATAATGCGGCCATCATAGTACAATTTGATTGTTGTTGATCTCAGGTGCTGGGTCGCTGGATTTACGTTTTGAAGACTCTTACCGGCTTAGCTCACCTCCCCTGGACACTTTAAAAATAGATGAATTACAAATATGCCCGCATCAGAAGTATAGTTCCCCATTCAGTTGGGTAGTTCCAGCCCCCCCCCCCCTCACTCTTACCAACTTTCAGAGGAAAGAGGGGTCTACTCCGGGGAAGTCACGTGCTTGGTGCAGTAGGTAGGCTTAGCCATTTTCCCCGCCGAGTCCACTAACCCCAGCTTCTATTGTGAAACCATACCACGGCCGGCATGTTACGCCCAGTTCAGATGATGTAGGATGCCAAGAAGTCTCAGGAAAGTTGCTGCCTTGCAACGATAACGGCGGAGAAGCGGAGATGGTCAACCACGGGCTGCACCATTCATTTTGTAGCTATGCCATCAAAACCCACCGTGCATGAGACGACCGATGACAACGCCGGCCGCCACAGTCGGAAGCCGTTACCTGACGGGGCCGATAGGACCGCCTGACGCCTGAGTGTACCGCGGATACCGCTTAGGAGGGACTGGCGACCTGACGGGACCCACCTCCGGCAGGCTGGCGAGACGCCGCTGCTGGTGGCGTGCAAGTACGGCCACTTACCCGCCGTCCGGCTCCTCTGCCAGCACGGGGTCGCCCTGAATGCCCAGGATGACGTGAGTACGGCACGAAATGACATCATTCGGGCGCAGCCGTGGTCGGTGCTTTGACCGATATGGTGGTTTGCATTGTTTGACAATGCGGACGCAAACGTATGTGGAATGCCAGGCATGGATGTAAACCTGAATCTCATGCCGTGCAAATGCGTAAATCTGGGATTAAACCACGGCATGACAAATTAGCCATCATCACACTGGAAACACTATTTATCCGTGAGCTTGCTTCCGCCCTGACCAAACACCTCAAATCACGCGTAGCGCTTAAAGTCTGAGGGCAGCACGTCAACAGCTGGAATCTTTGCTGAATGCCAAGTCCGTTGTGACAAATGTGCGTCCACCAGTGTGACCCCCCAGATATTTCTGCCATATACCACGGCATACTACATCAGATACTCATACGTTACATTTCCACTGAGATGTATCTTTACCGTAACATTACTTATAAATCACCTGAGGTGTTTTAAAACCGCATGTTCAGCGGAAATATGTTGGAATCGTTTTAACAATGCGGTCTGTTTTGAAAAGGCAGCATGAAATTTGTATGGAAGCTCTTAAAGCGTCTTACAACATTTCAACGCATCGCTGTGGAAATCTGGAGAGCAAAATTTGAAAGCTGGAACACCGCTGATTTTGTCTTGGTAACCAGATCGCAGGCAAATTATGAAAGAATGTCATATATGAAAAGTCCAGATCATCTCCTTCCCAATTTTAGTATGCGTCATTAGCTTCGACGCAGGATTATATGGCACGGTATCTGTGAGCGTTGTGGTAGTGCTCGGTTCAGATTTCAATTAGCACTGCCAGAATGGATTTACGACTGTTTCTTGAAACAGGTAACATTCAGTTCTTTGGGCATTTGCCACAACCACCTCCTAGCACGCAGACCCATGTAGAGAGGCCTTCCTTATGATTTGAGTTACCTTATAATTAATAAGGCTACCTTATAATAATAATAATTGTGTATGATTAATATAATTAATCTATATAATGATATAATTATATAAGGCTACCTTATAATTTGCAAAGGATATGCAGATCCCATGATATTCAATGGTGGCGTTTGTTGGTGAATATGAAGTGATTTTTTAAATCCTAAGATCAAGCGAATCCTGCAGCGCCTTAATACGGAAAAGCGTTGATGTCAAAGTAAGGGTCACGCACAACTTGATGGTCGCGGATGGGCGACAGGTCTGGATATCTTAGGATTTAAAATGTTAAAATCACTTCATATTCACCAACAAAGGTTGCCATTAAATGTAATGAGGTCTGCATATCTTTCGCAATTATAAGGCAGCCTTTTCCATTCGGAATCAGGATATGTTATCGCGTGATTTTTCATTTTTCAGTCTCCTGTTTATGCACAGAGGGGTCGTGTTCATTTGTGTAACTGTGACCGTTGTCATTGCGAGCGATGTCGGTTGAATGTTTTAATATTTAGCTGTTACTTGATTGAACTGGTACCATCGTACTTGTCCTGATAATGATACGCAATATATCGAAACTCCTCTTACCATAATATATATATATATATATATATATATATATACACGCATGCATACATGCAGTATGTAGTACACACATCTGTGTACGGCAGCACAAACCATTCAAACTTGAAACAGGCCCAGTCAACTCCAAATTGTTGCGCAATCGTGATGCCAGGCCATCGAGAGTTCGGCCATGTTTCCGACCTGATAAACCAGAACCCAGCCTTGAAAGTGACATGGCTGGCTTATTACCACAACGTGACCTTTCTTCGTAAGATTATCAGAACGGGACAACCATCAGCATTGGCAAATATACTCGGCACAAACATTAACACTACAGAGAGATAGGCCCGCCAATCACGCATCAGGCTGCTTATGGCGCGTTAGAACAGTGACAAATGACGGTTTATTTACCGGGCTCCGGTCGACTACACCTCTTGTCTCATTAGGTGAGGGCTTTTAACCACTCATACCTCTCTGCCACCTTTAAGCGAAAGTTTCTACGTGCCACGGGACGCGAGCACGCGTTTTTAATGGATGTAGGATGTGTTTGCCTTTTGTTGGATGAATGAGAGTATACTCGGGAATGGAATGTGAGGTGCCGTTTTGTGAAAGCTGTTTCCAAAGTCCAATTCGTAGTCCGAGGATAAACCTGCTGTCCGTCAAAAAGTGTCCAAAGAATCGGGTTGTCCAAAAATTCTCATTTTGTTTTATTCGCAGCCAATTACTACCCAATGCCACTAGCTCAGCTACCCGCGTCACTGCATTACTTCACTCCCTTCGCATGAAAAAAGTGAAAGAAAATTATCGTGGGTAAGCAGTGTGTGTCACAGGCATTCGTGGAAACGTCCACAATTCAAAATTTACACATCGATGTCTACTCAGCTTGACTATCAGTAAGCTCGACAACAGCACTTTAGTTGGATGATGAGTGGTAACAAATCGTAACTAGGTAGGAAATGAGTATCACAGGCTCTTCTGAGGACATCATCAGCATCAAGAACACCGAGCCCATTTTATCGATGCCCTTCAGTATAGAAACTTTTACCTCACGTTTCAAAAAGTGGTATTTTTGGTGTGCTCTATCAACGACTTGGTTTTGTTCCAGAGTCGAATTATTTTTAAAACGAGCAGCATTAAATAAGTTGACATGCACACCAATTTGCGACACGGCAGAAGGACATCGTCTGTCAAAAAATGTCCAACGATGTTTGCCCCTGCTGATTGCCCCGTTTGCCCTGCCAATCGAACTTGGACTTTTGTAATTTTTTGGAAATCCAAAACTTGAAATCCAATCGGCATCTTTAGTAGGTACGCGAGAAAGTATTCCGCTTGTACTTGTTCTTATCTTGCATGTGTACTACTTTGTGGCATGTACCGCCAGACTCGCATCACAGTTATCGAATTCATTGATCATTGGTCCCGTTTGGAGCTCCCCGGTAAATACGGAGGCCCGGCTACCGGCCGCCGCTGCGATCTGGGCGGTGGGGAGTGAGGATTTCGCTCTCATTCAGGGGCGCGGAAGCGCCGGGCAGCGGCCCGACCGGCCAGGCGATACAGCATTACCGAGCACACCGCAAACTACTGTTCTATAATCTTGGCCGAAGTCTCTGACGGTTACATGCAGCTAATCGGAAGCAGTTCTTTCAGCTGTTTGGTTTCTAGGGAATGTTAGGCCTAGAGGGTGACGCTTGAGCTAAACGACAGGTTCATTACCAGAAGCCCGACATGGGCGTGTGCTCAATGTAACAAGCCTGAAACCAACGTTCTCAGGTGCCAATGGCTACCTGGCCATGTCGTTCCTTGCGAGTTAGCTGTACCAGCAGATTTTTTAAAACATAACCTTTACATTTGCATGCAACGACGTTTGCAAGCCAGGAGAGATTTCAGATTCGTCTTCGTATTGCGACGGTTAACCTTCGCCCTGATTCACCGCTTATGATGAGATGGGGGGGGGGGGGTCGATGTGACCCTCCTCTGTTACCGAATTTAAAAAGAAAAAGGTCCGCAGAAAATCTAACGAATTGGTCTGAGCGAGATCTTGCGGTTGGTGGCCAGTATCATGGCCCTGGGCCCAGATTTTATCGGACTAGGAAAGGCCAAATGTAAATTATTCCTGAAAATCGACTTTCCCGGCCTTACATATCCATTTTTACGCAACAATACAGCTTAGCGGCATACGCTCTTGTTTAATTTTGAGCGCAATTATATACATAAATATATTATATTAATTATATATATACATGTAATTATATATATATATATATATGTATATATATATATACATATATATATATATATATATATATATAAATAATGCTTGCGTGCGTGCGTGCGTACGGCGTGCGTGTGTGCGTGTTGTGTATGTTTTGAACATACATTCATGATGCAGGGATCTGTTGACGTGACACTACATCTTACGTCGGCCGCCGCGCACCTACGGCGGATCCGTCAGTTGTCGTCCGGTGCCCGCGTTGGCCGTGATCGCCATGCGCTGTTCCCACAAAAACATCACTATTCAGAAGTTAGACTAATAAAGAAACGTTTTCGTGTCAAAACACACGCAGGAAATGTGTCGAAGGATACCGAAAATTTCGGCGCAATTGCACATGCCGGAGAGATATCTTCAAAAACTGTGGGGGACGCATCACCCTCCCCCTTATCACGATGAGGGTTACTACATAAAAGTGCGGAGTCCTATGGAAGTCGTTGATCCTATGTAAGACATGGACGTACCAAAAACATTCACTTTTACTTCCTATGCGGCATGCTTCAGAGGGATAATTAAGCATGACTTGAACTGTTTGCTACCTTCAAACCGATTGTTTTTCCAAAAGTGTGACGATGCATTTTTTCAGCATGAGAGGCAGACGTCCAACATTACTTTGCAATAAGTGGCCGTTCGTCAGCAAATACTCCTCCGCAGCGGGCACTGAAACCATTGCATTTTGAAAACAATCTGCGAAGTGAAGGAGTGAGGTATATGGCATTGGTCGCCACCATTAAACGGATGCCTTCTATTAAGTTGCATGATTTTGATTTTTCGTAAGCACGTGCCATTCAGACACATAACGAACAATAAACGCTGTATTTTTAGTTTACAATTCGGCAAGATGGCAGCCAGGCCCCTCTTTGTAAGGGCGCTATATGCCTTAGATTGATTATTTCGTGGTGTTGTCTGCCACAGTCGATGCTGATCTCTGGAACAATAAGAGTGTGGTGGTGGAGAAGGGGGAGGGGGGGATAATATCGCTTCTTAAGCCAAATCACCGCCGAACAATCGGTTATTACCATTTTTATTGAGCCCGTGCTGTTTTAGACGTGTTTAGATGTGATTTTTTCAATGTGGCTTTTATCTACGTGTATGCTCCGTTATCGAAGTTATGTACATTCGTTGAGTATCATAAAGCTTTTTAAAATGAATTACGTTGTTCGGTATAGCTGTGAGGAGCAACACACATCACAAAATAGTACTGGTAGCCGTATCGTTCGTCCAATAACCAGGAGAAAGGAGAGAAAAAGAGATGTTTGTAATCTTTCGACTGCATGCCATTGCCAACACAGTTGTCAGCACCAAATTCAAAACTGCTTGCCTGTCCTTCACGTGTTTTAGTTTTATTTTTGTTAAAACAGCAAGCCACAGTCTTACCAGGTCACCAAAATTCAGGGGATTGTATGCAAAGAGCGATTGTCATCCATTATTACAAAAATGGTCATCATCTCTTCCAAAATGGTTCCTTAGTCCTGAACCTCGGAGGATCCGGGATTCAGGGCTCAGTGATCCGATCCCAGCATCCGTATCTGGGATCTGGACGTAGGCTTGGTATGAATGTTCGTCTGTTTACACTGCATGTCTGCTCTGTCTGACTGGGCTTAGCGTACGCATCTGGGTGCCTCTTACCCGGGGTGAGCATTCCAATGCAAACTGCCTGAGCTGTGTTGTGCGTCCGCCGCTGTCTGAGCTGTCCTTTGCGTCCGCCGTTGTCTGAGCTGTGCTGTGTGTCTGCCGCTGTGTGAGCTGTACTGTGCGTCCGCCGCTGTCTGAGCTGTCCTTTGCGTCCGCCGCTGTGTGAGCTGTGCTGTGCGTCCGCCGCTGTCTAAGCTGTGCTGTGCGTCCGCCGCTGTGTGAGCTGTACTGTGCGTCCGCCGCTATCTGAGCTCGCTGGCCTGCCGGCAGCATGGCGAGACGGCTCTGCACGCGGCCGTGTGGCACGGCTTCCCGGGCATCGCCTGTCTGCTGAGCCGCGCCGGCGCCAGTCCCAACATCGCCAACCAGGTGAGGCCACTGGCGTACACAGAGACCACTGGCGCACCTGAGTAACGGTCACTGGTGCACCCGGGCAAGGGTCACCGGTGCACCTGAGCAAGGGTTACTGGTGCACCTGAGCAGGGGTTACTGGCACACTCGAGCAAGGGTCACTGGCGCACACAGAGACCACTGGCGCACCTGAACAACGGTCACTGGTGCACCCGGGCATGGGTCGCCGGTGCACCTGAGCAAGGGTTGCTGGCGCATCCGAGCAAGGGTTACTGACACACTCGGGAAAGGGTCACTGGCGCACACAAGCAGTGGTCACTGGTGCATACGAGCAAGGGTCATTTGCGCACCCGGGCAAGGGTCACTGGCGCACGCAAGCAGTGGTTATTGACCAAGAATCTAATGAGATGGTTGACATCCTGTCTTTCGCATTTTCCTAGACCTAGGTCCTAGGTCGGCCACCCATAACCCGACTCTTACCTGATTTAGTTACCTGACCTCTGGCCTGCCGCTGACCTGACATCTGACCTGCTCTAGACCAGAACGTCTGACCTGGCTACCGACGTGAGCCTCTCTCCAGCCTCAACAATACTTCCTGTTCTTTCATCCAGTCTTGGTCCCTTGAACTGACGACATCCTGAGCCTTGACCTAACTTAGACTTGACGCCTCATATAACCTGACTTGACTTGACTTGATTTCAGACCTGAGCCTTGACCTTACACTGACCAAATCTTCCCCTGACAGGACGCGTCATCTGACCCCTCGTCTGATCTCCGATCTGACGACGGCATGGTGTCTGACCTAATGTGACCTGACCTGACTCGGCAGGAGCTGGAGACGCCTCTGCACTGCGCGGCGGCCCGCGGTCATCTGTCGGTGGTGCGCTGTCTGCTGGACAGTGGCGCCCTCTGCGACACGCCCGACTCTACCGGCGCCACCGCCCTCCACTTGGCGCTCCGGCGGCGCCACCAGCCGCTGGCGCACCTCCTGCTGGAGGCCGGCGCCAGCTGCGACGTCGCCGACCACGTGAGCTGGTGACGAGTGGCGCGGGGGAAGGGCGCACAAGCTTAGTGGGCTGTGTTTGATCTGGGCAGCTATACACCGGATTGTCAATGTTCGCTGATGGTCGCTGACGGATAGATCTGCTTAACGTACGCTGCACTCTTCCCTGTGTGTGCTTTCCTGACCCAATGCGTCGAAGGCCAGTGGCGTTTGTCGACTGGCTCATCTCGGCGTGAGTTCTTTTTATGTCATTCGCCTCTAAATTACCCGTCTGTGACTGGTATGACCCATGGGATCAATTTTAAATAGGCATATCCGGCGTACGTTCGTTTGTTTACCAGGGCGTCGCTGCACTTTGTTCGGGAGAAATGCGAGTATGTACTCCCTCACCTCTCCTCCGACACGCCGGATTCCAACAGCTAAGCCCGTGGTGAGGGTGCGTGGAGATCTGTGCCCCCACTCGTGTGAACTGTGCCTGTGTTGCACGACAGGTTGGAGAGAGGCCTATTCACATCGCGTGCGCCGAGGGTCTGCTGGCGGCGGTGCAGGCGCTCTGCACGTACGGGTGCACGGTGGACGTGGCCAACAATGAGGGCCTGTATCCCGTCCACCTGGCGGCCAGAAACGGCCACACCGAGGTGGTGAGGTGAGTCCACGAGTCTGGAAGGTAATCAGTGTACCCAGAAGGATGGTGGTGTGAGCTCCTGATCCTGGACGCTGCTGCGGTAAGGTTCGCACCCAAAAGGATGGCAGGGTGCGTTCCTGATCCCAGAGAATGCCAAGGAGATCTTCATGCCGTGGGGGATGGTGAGAAGAGCCCCTGATCCCAGAGAATGCCGATGAGATCTTCACGCCACGGAGGAGGATGAAGTGAGCCCCCGATCCCGGAGAATGCCGATGAGATATCTATGTCACGGAGGAGGGTGAGGTGAGCTGGTCCCGGAGAATGCTGAGGAGGTCTCCATGCCACGGAGATAGTGAGGTGAGCTCCTGATCCCAGAGAATGCTGAAGAGACCTCCATGCTACGGAGGATGTTATGGTGAGTTCCTGATCCCGGGGATGTTAGGATGAGCTTCATACACTGAGAGATGGTGAGGATGGTTAGGTAAGTATGGTACCCTCTGCCGGTTACTGGGTCTCCCAGTCACGACTCCGCCAGCGTCGGAGGCATTAATTGCTGGCCGCCGCTGGCGGGTGGGCCGAAGAGCACATGTGACAGGCGGATCTGTGCCACGTCATGCAGCGCCATGTAGGCTGCAGACATGTATCGGGCGTGTGTCGGACGTGTGTCGGACGTGTATCGGTCATGTGTCGGGTGTGTGTGGGAAGTGTGTCAGACGTGTATCGGGCGTGTGTCAGACGTGTATCGGGTGTGTGTTGGACGTGTATCGGGCATGTGTCAGACGTGTGTCGGAAGTGTGTCTGACGTGTATCGGGTGTGTGTCGGACGTGTATCGGGCATGTGTCGGACGTGTGTTGGGAGTCTGTCGGGCGTGCATCGGGTGTGCGTCAGACGTGTGTCGGACGTGTATCGGGTGTGTGTCAGATGTGTGTCGGGAGTGTGTCAGACGTGTATCGGGCGTTTGTCGGACGTGTATCGAACCTGTGTCGGACGTGTATCGGGCGTGTGTCGGACGTATGTCGGACACGCGTCGGACATGTGTTGGACGGCTGGCGCGTCTGGCGGGTGACGTGCCGCGAGGCTGACCCCTCCCCCCGCCGCTAGGGTGCTCTGCCTGGCCGGCTGCTCTGTGGACCAGCGGGAGCGGAGCGGCCGCCCGCCAGAGATGACAGCCCTGCTGCGCGGACACCACGACATCGCCTGCCTTCTCTCCCGGCTGAGTAATGTGAGCTGCCCCCCCCCCCCCCACCCCACCCCCCCACCCCCCACCAGCATTCTGTGCTCGCCCGCCAACATCCTCCGGACGTTGGCGGCGAGGTCTCGGGAAGACGGTCGGTGCTCAATCAGTACCATCGAACAGTTGTAGCCGAAGGTGTGGGGCGTGGCTGCCATCAGCAAAGCAGGACTGCGCCAGTGTCGTGAAGCAGGGTGTGTGGAGTACTGCGGCTCAGTCGCTCTACCCCCCCCCCCCCCCCCCCCCCTCCCGCATCCATCCTATTGAGAGCCGTTGATTACTTGATAACAAGCCGTTAAATTAAGAAGTGACAAACTTAGAGAAGCCATCTATTTTTTCCTGTATGCATAGCATTGCTGACCTGCGCTAATCTGGGTGTTCTACTATTCGCAGAGCGAGGTTCGCGAAGAGTTCATCAGTCAGCTGGTGCCGAGTGCAAACCCCATCTCGCGGATAAAACTGAAGCTGTTTGGCAACTCAGGAGTTGGGAAAACAGCTTTGGTAGATTCCTTAAAAGCTGGCTACTTCTCAGGCTTCTTCCGGCGAAGTAAAAGCTCGAGTCTTGGAAATCTAAGCAGCTTTAAGAGTAAGTTTTATGAAATGTTGAAAACTCAGGTTTCAGACATCACATGAGCTATGACTTTGGTAGCTCCGCCCTCGTTATTATATGTTAATGATTCTAATAATTCCTATGTCCTGTTGTCAATGCTAAGTATCTAAACGACACAAATAACGCTAGCGTTTGAAATTGCTGTAAACCATAAAGAGGAAAATAATTGTGTCGCTAAGGCTGACTTACAAAACATTCGTCCCTTTTTAGTGCTTAACGCCATCTTGCAAGAACGCTCCCCACAACAGTTAGAGCCAGCACCCGCCAGGGAGTCCAAGAGTCTATCAGAACAAAACAAAATGGTATTCAGTTTACCTTCGGGTTGTGCTTGCAGTGACGCACTCTTCCCGCAACGGTCGTCCCGAGCGGAGTCCGGCGCCTGCTTGGGACAGCACGATGTCGGTCCGAAGCAGCTCCCGTCACTTCACGAGGGGTATCAACATCACCCAGGTCAGCGCCGTAGACGGTCCGAAGCAGCTCCCGTCACTTCACGAGGGGTATCAACATCACCCGGGTCAGCGCCGTAGACGGTCCGAGGCAGCTCCCGTCACTTCACGAGGGGTATCAACATTACCCAGGTCAGCGCCGTAGACGTTCCGAGGCAGCTCCCTTCACTTCACGAGGGGTAACAACATCACCCAGGTCAGCGCCGTAGACGGTCCGAGGCAGCACCCGTTACTATACGAGGGGTATCAACATCATCCAGATCAGCGCCGTAGACGGTCTGAGGCAGCACCCGTTACTGTACGATGGGTATCAACATCATCCAGGTCAGCGCCGTAGACGGTCCGAGGCAGCACCCGTCACTTCACGAGGGGTATCAACATCACCCAGGTCAGCGCCATAGGCGGTCTGAGGCATCACCCGTCACTTCACGAGGGGTATCAACATCACCTAAGTCAGCGCTGTAGCACCTGCAGCAACTGCCACCACAGGGCACCTGACTTCACAGTCTGTCTGTTTTTTGGGGGGAGGGGGGGCTGGATGTGTCCTGGCCATGGTAATGAAACATTTATACCGAGAACGGTGCCAATTTCGGTGACGGCTACGCTATTTTGCTGAATGGCCATAAGCTCCCCCAGGAGGCAGTGCAGATGCCCGGGAGCGGGGCTCCCTATGCGAAGCAGGACGACTGATGCGGCGCCGAGCTTACTAAATTAGAGATGAAGTGCTACGTAAACCGTAGTCGTATGCATCTCGTTGAGAATATAAATGTGAGATGTAATACATGCCTCCCTGGTCACGGTGGTCAGGGTCACTGTGCCATCTGCGGGACCCAGCCACCAACGAGAAGTTTTGTGGGAACCACTCAGGAGAGAGGAACGGATGGCAGGTTTTTAAAGGTTAATCCCTCATGTACAACGTCCACTGGTTGCATGTGGAAACGATCGTAGAAGTACCTGAAAGTGGCATGCCCTTCAGAGGCATATGCGCATATGCGCATATGCGCTTTGTCGCAAACGAAGCGTCGATCACATACCGTACAAGGCGCTGCCACAGGGGACAGGATGCGTGACACGCGAAAAGGTACCACGGCACATATTTAACCGATTCCCTGAGGTAATCCACGTGTGCGACGAGCACAAAACCCAGCGAATCTCCGGACGTGCACGCAATCCGTATCATCCTCCCCCCCCCTTCCCCCCGGGGCCCGGCCCCCCCCCCCCCCTCGGCCTGATGCGGCTGGGCCTGCCCGCCGCTGACACGAGTGTGTCATGCCCTGCAGGCGACGCTCAGCGGTGTGGGCGAGGTGTGCCTGCCCGCCGCTGACACGAGCGTGTCATGCCCCGCAGTCGACGCTCAGCGGTGTGGGCGAGGTGTGCCTGCCCGCTGCTGACACGAGCGTGCCATGCCCGGCAGGCGACGCTCAGCGGCGTGGGCGAGGTGTCTCTGTGGGACTTCTCCGGTCACCCGGACTATCGCCAGCTGTACGACCAGTTCGTAGGCAGCGCCGACTGCCTGCACCTGGTGCTGTACCGGCTGTGCGACCCGGCGCCGCTCCGTCTCCAGCAGGTGGTCCAGTGGCTGGGCATGCTGCAGGCGTGCATCGCTCCGCTGGAGCCGTTCGGTGAGTGCCAGCAGCACCGCGGTGCCGTCTCGTCAGTACCTCGTACTGTAGTCGGCCAGCGACAGCGCGGCGGGGAAAGACGCTGCGTCCTTGTCGGCGAATCCGTTGCTTAGTCAGTAACCCGTCACTTATTCAGTGGCTCTGTCGCCTTCTCGCTGATTTGACTATGGTCGCTGACGTCAGAAATATCTGACCTGTCCCCATCCCCGCAAGTCACCGTCCATGACCCAGCAGGTCACTGTCCCCATCCCCGCAAGTCACCGTCCATGACCCAGCAGGTCACTGTCCCCATGCCCTCAGGTCACCCTCCAGCCCTGCAGGTCACTATCCCCATCCCCGCAGGTCACCGCTCCCAACCTCGCAGGTCACTGCCCCTGACCCCGCAGGGCACTGTCCTGCAGGAGTCAGGAAGATCCCGCGGAACAAGACCCCCAAACAAGACCCCGCGGGTCTTTGTTCCTGACCCCGTAGGTCACTCTCTGACCCAGCAGGTCATTGTCCCCATCCCCGCAGTACACTCTCCAATCCCGCAAGCCACTGCCCTCGACCCCGCAGGCCACTGTCCCTGACCCCGTAGGTCACTGTCCCCGACCAAGCAGGTCACTCTCCCCAACGCCGCAGGTCACTGTTTCCGACCCCGCAGGTCGCTGTCTGGACTTCGCAGGTCACTCTCCCTGACCCCGCAGGTCACTGTCCCCACCCCCGCAGATCACTGTCCTCAACCTCGCAGGTCACTCTTCCCGACCCCGCAGGTCACTGTCCCCATCCGCGCAGGTCACAGTCTGCCTGCGCCCCAGTACTGACACGGTACGGTGTCGCTGACCCGTGCCCGCCCGACAGGTCACTGCGGCCGCTCTGTCCGGCCGGCTCGTGTGGTGTTGGTGGCGACCCACGCTGACCTAGTCCGCCAGCGGAGGGACGGCCACGGCCAGCACACGGCCACGGAGGTCAGTCGCCGGGCGTCCTCGAGGTCAGGCAGCGGTCAGCGGTCAGGGTCAGGGCCAGGGCCAGGGCCAGGGCCAGGGCCAGGGCCAGGGTCAGGGCCAGGGTCAGGGCCAGGGTCAGGGTCAGGGTCGGTGTCAGGCAGCGAGACCCAGCCGACAGCGCTCACGATGGAATGTTCGGTTATATGTCTTCACAAACTGTGAGAAGACGACGTGAAATGACGGCTGGACGTTCTCTGGTCCGTTGTTCGCTTTAAAACTATGTCATGACTAAACTCTGCATTCGGTAGATTTGAAATGAAATAGCCAGCTTGTAGGATGCAAATAGGCCGACACAATTTTGTTTTCGGTGAGGCGCGATACGCTCTATTTCCTTGTTGGAGTGCAATTGGTCTTGGGCTCATTTCGTTTATGTGTGTTATGCATAGTATCATCTGTTTGTGACGAAACAGAGGCGAAGAAACGGCACTCAAAGTATTGCAATGCAGAAGATTTGTCAAAACAGGCTCCGTGCGAGTGCTTTACACGCTAACAGAATTAGGCCAGTGGCAACGCCATTGGCCAACGTATTCAAACAGCGGGACAATATTGGCGAGCAGGCCTAAAACCTCACCCTACTTCGTGGTGGGATGTGGAGCACGGCGCATTCGGACATGCTGTTTTTCTCTATTTCTCTCTCCAAACTTTGCCACGTCCAGCAGTTTTTGACTAAATCAAGTAGACTGTGTGGTCATGCTTTTTATTCACGCTGCGTGCTTTTTTATTACAATCATGGATGGAACAATGTCTTTGGCTGTTGCGTCTCAGTAGTTTGCCGTTTTCCCTTGATGTGAAGGCTGCATCTTCACCGTGCACTGTAGATGGAAATGCTGATGAAAACGGTGCGACAACGGTTTGGCACGGTCTTCGATCTGAGCCCGATGACGTTCATCCTGGACGCCACGTCCTCCACATCTCCATCGCTGAAGCACCTCAGGGCTCACCTGGCGCGGTTGAAGACTCGCGTCACGCAGGTCAGTGCCGCTGCGCCTGGGGCGGAGCCACACCGGTCCGCGGCTGCAGACTCGGGTCGCGCAGGTCAGTGCCACTGCGCCTGGGGTGGGGTCACACCGGTCCGCGGCTGCAGACTCGGGTCACGCAGGTCAGTGCCGCCGTGCCTGAGGCGGGGCCACACCGGTCCTCGGCTGAAGACGGGTCGCGCAGGTCAGTGCCGCCGTGCCTGGGACGGGGCCACACCGGTCCTCGGCTGAAGACAGGTCGCGCAGGTCAGTGCCGCCGTGCCTGGGGCGGGGCCACACTGGTCCTCGGCTGAAGATTCTGGTCACGCAGGTCAGTGCCGCCGTGCCTGGGGTGGGGCCACACCGGTCCTCGGCTGAAGACTCTGGTCACGCAGGTCAGTGCCGCCGTGCCTGGGGCAGAGCCACACTGGTCCTCGGCTGAAGACGGGTCGCACAGGTCAGTGCCGCCGTGCCTGGGGCGGGGCCACACCGGTCCTCGGCTGAAGACTCGGGTCGCGCAGGTCAGTGCCGCCGCGCCTGGGGCGGGGCCACACCGGTCCTCGGCTGAACACTCGCAGAGGAGGCTCGACGGAGACAAACAGCGGACCCAGTATCTTGGCTTCCCACGACTATTGGCCGTTAAGAGCGGTTGCTACACAGGCAACGAATTAAGTTCAAAACTCGCGCAGAATTTGTAATGGAAAAACAAGAAACAAGTGGGAGGGTATACCGCAGTTTTCTACACAGCACAGACTAATCCCTATTCCTAAGCACAAACATAATCCCTAAGCACTAACAATAATCTTATCCCGTTAAAGCCAACACCCGCGTTCCTGTTGGACCCAGACCTCTGCCTACCGGCACATTCAGTATACGTAGACAAACAAAAAGCAAAGAATTGGCACGCAACATGAATTCCGCTGCACTGGATACTCATAAACTCGGACACAAGAAATATTGACTCGCAAAACTTCCACCCCGAAAAAATAGACACCTAGAATTGATATACACAATGTCTAGACGGAAACAGTTGATTTTAGCTGTTTCGGGCACGGCTGTCGGTACGTCTGAGTAGAAGGGGATCCGATGGATGGTTGGGGCACAGACTGATGCAACAGAAGCTTAAATATCGCAGGAATCGACTGGTTAGTCTCGTGGCATGACCAGAAATGCGTAGTCAGGCTGCTGCCCTTTTCACGAAATTGGAGCAGGCGATAACAGGCTAGTGCCGCCCTTTCAATAGAGACCAAGGTCTACACACATGGTAGCCTCAAGGGCACGTGCCCCCCACCCCACCCCATCCTCCCTCCCTTCCTCTCACCAAATTTAGGACATGAATTAGTACTACGTGACTAACTGTTGGCTGCTGAAAATTCCACGTAGTTACGTAACAACAAGAAGATTGAGAAAATGTGATGTTTTTTTCTAAGAAGAGCCAGGCTATTTCGCGCGCCCGCAGCGCTAGACGTCATCTTCAGTAGACATCTGTATGTTTTGCCCTCGCGCATTGTAAAATCCTGCGTACGCCCCTGAGTGTAAATGCATTTTAGAGGGAATATACAGAAGTGTGGCTTAGAAGTTTAGGACGAATCTGTCCCAAACGGATTCAGGACTCCTTTTTAGTTCTGTAGATCCGGCCTTTAGACATTTGCCACGTGAAACATGGTTTATCCGTGCACAGTTGTGTGGCCCATGTGGTCACTAGCTCATCAGCATGTGTTTAGTTTACACTTCCGATCAAAGATCGCGGGCGTACTCGGGGCGGAACGTAACAGTCTGCTCGGGGTGGGTTGTAACACTGTTACATTGGACCCCCATGGCTGGCACATTCAACATTTCATTCCGGACGGTTTGCAACAGGGCAAGAATAACAAACAGAGGAAGGTCGTTCCAAACAGGTACGTTTAGTGTAGTTTTGCAGGCCGGAGAAATAATACGAAAGGCGTCACAAGTTTATGGGATGCACCACGTCACCCTGATGTGCTGTGTAAATCGAAAGAGGAAAGGGATAGAGAGAGGAGGAAGACAAATCGAAGTGGGCTACAAACCCTCGTCCCGTTTTCGTCCTGAAGAGATGGGAGCATCCTCGCTTCACGCCTGCTAAAATCGGCAGAACTATTTGACCTTCCTCCCTCGGAGGTCACAAAGCTGGCTCACCAGTGTGCGGTGGCAGGACACCTAGAAATACCAAGGTCATGAGCTAAAGCGGAACGGGTAACTTATCCATGTCTGTAATTCCCTATGCAACCATCGAAATTTCGTCTAAACCTGTTCTATGTCTGCATGTATGTCTTTTGATAATATCTTAGCTGCATTTTGCTTCCACTTCCCCCATTTCAAACACCGCCTGACCATGCGCCGAAGGCTTGGGCGCTGTGATATGCCCAACCCAGTCTAAGCCAAAGTGTTTGGCTAAAAGTCTTGGCTGGGACCAGGGCTTCACCAACATTTCACCGTCGTTCTAAGACTAGTTATTTGGCGTGATCACTCGCACTCCAAACTGACACACGCCAATATTTGTGACATTACGAGCGGAAAGGGTTCTCAATTCATAAAGATGAACGTCAGCTGAGAGCTTACTCAGCTTGTGAGCGCGTGACAGCGATGCATAGACCATAGTCTTACCTCTGCCTGGATAGCCAGGTCCCGTTTCAGTGCGTAGTTGCCCCGGGGGGTTGGCGCCGCCACGGTGATCCCTTAGCTACCCTTTTACTGCATACTTGTACGCAGGAGGAGCGGAATGGCGGGCATTACATAGCACTGCGCCGACAGCCAAATAGTCGGAAACACCCCGTCACTCCAACTTGTCATGTAACAGGGCAGCTGACTCCTCGCCCCCCCCCCCCCCCCCCCCCCCAGCACACGCCGTAATAAATTGTGATGACGTCGTTCTCGTATGGCTCGTAATGACGTATGTGCAGTTGGTGGATGGCCCCGCAGTCGTACGTGTATTTTCCTCTTTTCAAGTCAAATGTCGCAGTTCTAAGTATTCACGTGATCACGGTCACGTTGCGTAAGCCGGAGGCGATTTTGGTAGGTGGCTGCGTCGCCGCCCAAAGTCTGTCATTGTTGTTAAAACAGAATGATTGGTGTTGTCTGGGCACGTGACAAATCAGCGCGACCTGACGCATCGATTGTCCACCTGTGTTGTGTTGGATGGGCACAACTCAGGTCATACCGGCGGCATATTATTGTGGCTCAGCTGGTAAGACCCACGCTGTTCCATGTCCATCCACGGACTCTAGTTGAAAAAGTACCTACCCAGTGCTTTGCCATATGGAAGTTTTCAGTCGATGACCCCTGGTGGCCAGTCCCTGCTTTGTCTTCCTGACAACCAGGATCTGCACAAGATTGAAGTCATTGGTGTTCTGTAGAACGCCGCACCACGAGCGCTGCTGCTCAGAACGCGCACGATTCTGTGTCTGGTTTTCCCACATTGGCATCACCTGCAGGTTCAGTGGTAAAGGTACATGAAATCCCTGGCCCTGTTCTTGCGCTGCGCGCGCCGAGGGTCCCAAGGCTTATTGGTGGGAGCATTGCGCGTGATTTAATTTTGCGGTCAGGTGCAGGTGTCCACAAATCTAATGGGAGGACTAGGGGATATGGCAAACCCGTGTGCATTGCCAGATTATTGTCAGCCCAGCGATGGCACAGCCCGATGCCACGGGACTTGAGGTTTATCAGCAGCCCTCAAATCAAGGCTTATTCCAGCGTTTTCCGCTCTCTAGGACAAGCGGAAGAAAAATACACTCGCGACCAGACTTTTCAACTTTCGACACATTCTGATGCTGGACCAACGATGGGAGATACAGCCGTCATTCTGCAGGCTCCTCCGCGCTCATTCTTCCAGGCTTTGCGGGAATTGTGTGGCCGATTTTCGAGAAAGGGTGGACAAGAATAGCAACGCATGAAAGTACCGTCAAAGAAAGCATGTTACTGTTACTGTACATTTCACATTCAAGCAGTAACCGCGCATTATTGAAAAGCTAATTGTATTACACAGTGGTGCACTTCGCCTTGTTAGATGCCTGCCTACCAGGGTGGAAGATGGTTTTGATTTGGTAAGATTTCTTGGTCCACACCGCATCATCTTGGCAACACTCATCCCATCAATGTCACCGAATCATCTGGTCGAAATGAAGCGTCTTTGAACCGATATTTGGTGCTTGCATGCAATACTAAAGTTGTCCCATGTTTGCAAGCTGAGACAGACTGCCGGAGAAGTGGCTGAAATGCAATATGATCCCGTACCTGAAACGTTAGGAACGAGACCCACCCCATCCGGCACCACCTGCCACTGTATAAAGTCTACAGAGCTGCAGACAAGTATTTATGGCCAGATGGGTTCTCGGGGTTCCGCCGTAAGGGAGAACACAGGTCATAGATTGAATGCAGTAGCAACGTGGAATGACTACGTGGTCGGTTGTACGGTCGTTGCACTCGGCGACGTATAGCGTAAAGAAAGGAGCGGGCACACTCATTCGCTCTGGCTCTGATTCTCGCCCTGGTTGTACACATACACACACACACACACACACACACACACACACACACACACACACACACACACACACACACACACACACACACACACACACACACACACACACACACACACACACACACACACACACACACACACACACACACACACACACACACACACACACACACACACACACACACACACACACACACACCACACACACACACACACACACACACACACACACACACACACACACACACACACACACACACACACACACACACACACACACACACACACACACACACACACACACACACACACACACACACACACACACACACACACACACACACACACACACACACACACACACACACACACACACACACACACACACACACACACACACACACACACACACACACACACACACACACACACACACACACACACACACACACACACACACACACACACACACACACACACACACACACACACACACACACACACACACACACACACACACACACACACACACACACACACACACACACACACACACACACACACACACACACACACACACACACACACACACACACACACACACACACACACACACACACACACACACACACACACTCTCTCTCTCTCTCTCTCTCTCTCTCTCTCTCTCTCTCTCTCTCTCTCTCTCTCTCTCTCTCTCTCTCTCGCCCTGGCTCTCCGTAAGGTTAACCAACCTATCACGTCTTGGTATTTGTACACGGGAGCCGAGGAAGATTGAAGTTTTGCAGCGCATTAAGGCCCTGTAACCCATATTTTATTGTTTGACTGGTTGGGAAACGTGGATTTGTTACGTTGTGGGCATCTGGATTACGTTACCTGAATTTCCAACGTACTTCGCAATCTATTATTCATGCATCTATTCTTTGTAAAGGTCATTCAGGGCCAATGTCTCAGAGAGACAAATGTTCAAACGGCTAAAGTTGAATAACCCACCCCCCGCGTCCGTTACTTACGAGTCAGTATAACTTTCCTTGCCAGTTGCCATTTTCATTACACAACTGTCATATAAAAACACGCCATAAATACTACAGTGTTACCTTTATTGCAGGGCACGCGTTGCCGGTGATTCGTAGCATTTAGTAAATGTATGTATATATGGGACAGTAGGCGTGTTCAATGACAGTGCAGTAGATGATGCAAACACGACCTGGTCAAGGTTTCAGCAATAATTGCGTGCATTTAGACGGAAAGCCAACCTGTTGGCAGGTCCGCGCCCGTCACCGTCACCGTTACCCACGCCCGTCACTGGCACCGTTTCTGACCCGTCACTAACGCGGCGTTTTACCCATCACTGACACAGCGTCTGATCTGCCTCTGACGCGGCGTCTGACCCGTCACTAACGCGGCGTCTGACCCGTCGTTAACGCGGCGTCTGACCTATCACCGACGCGGCGTCTGACCTGTCACTGGCGCGGCGTCTGACCCGTCACTAACGTGGCGTCTGACCCGTTACTGACGCGGTGTCTGACCCGTCACTGACACGACTTCTGACCCGTCACTAACGCGGCGTCTTACCCATCACTGATACAGCGTGTTACCCGTGACTGACACAGCGTGTGACCCGTTACTGACACAGCGTCTGATCCGCCACTGACGCGGCGTTTGACCCGTCACTAACGCGGCGTCTGACCCGTCACTGACGCGGTGTCTGACCCGTCACTAACGCGGCGTCTGACCCGTCGCTAACGCGGCGTCTGACCTGTCACCGACGCGGCGTCTGACCTGTCACTGGCGCGGCGTCTGACCTGTCACTGGCGCGGCGTCTGACCCGTCACTAACGCGGCGTCTGACCCGTCACTAACGCGGCGTCTGACGTGTCACTAACGCGGCGTCTGACCCGTCACTAACGCAGCGTCTGACCCGTCGCTAATGCGGCGTCCGACCCGTCACTGACACACCGTGTGACCCGTCACTGACACAACGTTTAACCCGTCACTAACGCGGCGTTTTGGTCCCAGGGTCTGCCGAAGAGCACGGGCTTTCTGGAGACGATGGTGGCGCAGGTAGGCAGCTGGCGCCGCCTGCAGCCTCACTTCCCCATCATGACTTGGGCAGACCTGGTTGAGGTGGTGCGTGACCAAGTCAACCCTCTGGCCGGCGAGGAGCACGTACAGGAGGTGGTGCAGCAGTTGCAGTTGATGGGCGAGGTTAGTCACTCGAGCCACACCCACACTCTTCCGCTGGCCGACGCCAGCGCACTCCTTAACGTTCAGTGTACTTCATCTGCGGCGGATGTGTGTACTCACGAATGAAGCTGCGCGCGAAACCTACACAAATTTTTTTTGCAGCTTTTCTGAAAGTTTTTCAATGTTTTAATGAGCTCAAAGAGTTATAAGAAATGTAGTTTTAACCGTAATGGGACGTCGCGAAACCGGACATTTTGTCGAAGTCTGCCTTCAAAAAGCGCGTTGTGGTTTTGCCCATTACTTACCTCCTCCCTTTTGTGAAACCTGTGGCGTGGCGCTGTTTTGTGAGGGTGCAACGGACCTAGGGCCACCGGTTTATCAGTACACATTTATTTGCCACCACCGCGGATTGGCGTTCGCCGTGACGGTACATTATTTCGCTGTGTGGTGGGTGGGACATGCCACGGCGCTGACTTTAGGTCACTCTGCCGACGTGCCATGAAGGGCCGGCCAGGCTGGGGTGCTACGCTGCGCGGCTGGGACAGCGGCCAGTGTGCGGTAGGTGGGCTCGTCTGACCGACGCCACCCCTACCCAGGTGGTGCACCTGGCAGCCGGGGCCGCCGGACAGGACCTGGTAGCGCTGGCGCCGCGCTGGCTCTGCGGTGACGTGCTCGGCCTGCTGTTCTCCCCCGACTTCCGACGCCGCACCAAGGCTACTGGTGAGTGGGACGGAGTGAGTGAGTGGGTGAGTGAGTGAGTGAGTGAGTGAGTGAGTGAGTGGGTGAGTGAGTGAGTGAGTGAGTGAGTGAGTGAGTGAGTGGGTGAGAGCGAGAGACAGAGAGAGAGAGAGAGAGAGAGAGAGGGGGAGAGAGGGAGAATGAGGGAGGGAGAGAAGGAGAGAGGAGATGCAATGGTCTGGGCAGTTTCGCGTCGATAGGTTATCGATTAACGGGCTTACTGGCTACCATCGGAGCCGATTCGGGCAGCCATTGGGGTTTTATTTCATACGCTACCCCCGGACGGGCGGGATTAGTTGCAGCCACAATTGTACGACGTCAAATTTGGGGAGAACCCCATTGCGGACGCACTTTCGGGCTGGTTGTAGCGATTTGACGCACAGCTATACATTTAGGAAAAGCAACACCTTCCGGAGATACCAGTTCTTTAAAATAAGTTGCGCGAAGGATCAAAGTCATCTAGCGTACATTGTTAGTTTTTTAGTCTGGGTATACGGATTTTTCATGGATCTAGTACCAATTTGCATTCCTCCGGCACCACCTGATTTTTCTTCAAAACAATATGGGGCGAGGTAAAAGTGCAGAAAGACGAGCACTTTCATTATTAAATTGATATGTAACGAACTCGTGAAATCTCGTCGGACCCCCATGGTGCAGCCTGAGTTTCTTCAGAAGAGAATAAAACTTATTAAACTTAGAATCAAACTGATTGCGGCACCACGTAGTGTGTGTACTGGGGATGTTTGCACCAGATGTCTTGTCCTAAAAGTACCAAAAAATCCTTAAGCTACGTGGAGCTTCCATTGATAGCACAGTGCTGCAGATATCGCTAAAGCCCACGGTGCACAAGTTGTGTACGCCACAGCGGTAACAATCATCATCTAAATACGGCTGGTCGAGTTCAATACTTTGAGCCCGACTGGGACCAATGCCAGCAATATCTGAGCGCACGACCGCTCTGTTGTCCACTAACCATACTGGCCACCGACTAAACATCGTGGTGAGGTTTGTGCGGTTATCGGTGGTCAGTCAGCCTCGTGGTGATTCTGTGTATTTGGGGACCCGGCTCGTCTTTGTTGAGCGTTGACTTCGTTTAACATAGCCCTGTCAATATGCAAGTCCAGCCGCCTGACTGACGTCAGAGGGATTTATTACTGCTTACCACGATGGCAGCCAAAATTCCAACGGCCACAGCTTTCAGGAGTTTCTCCACAAGCGAAGTCTTGACACGCAGTAGATGATGCGTAAGCTCTGATGACACGGGACTCGGAGCCGCGCTCACGTGTTCACTGCCTCGGCCCGGCTATGACCGTCACACGTTGTGGACCATTGTTCAGACCAGTGTTCTGACCCCTGTCTCGCTAGGGCGACAACGCATTATGGGTTCGTGATCGTGCGCGTGTCAGCAGCTAGCTGTCTGCCCGCAGGCTGCTACACAGTACGAGAGTTCCAGATGCTGATGCCGCAGTGTGACGCCCTGGACTTGCTTCAGGTCCTAGAAACGCTACACCTCTGTGCTCAGGTAAGGCTGCGGCTGCCCAGTCTGCAGGGATACTGCCTTTGTGGGTGGGGGTGGAGGACAGGGGACCAAGGCCTCTAGGCACTGTGTGGGCTCTCCCTATCGCTGTTGTAGCAACGACTTCACTGCTTCAACGGCTTGGATTCCCAGATATGTGGTTTGAATCCCACCATCAGTCCTTACATTTCTCAAGCCCCACTAGCTTTTTAAACACACACGTTTTTCCTTGCACGGTCAGGTATTTTGGTGAGCATCAGTTCTGGTAAAAATGGATTGATCGCGCGCTCTCCGTTAGTTATTCCACGTGTTGCATTGTTTCCGTAAGAAACGACCACGAAGATGAAACGTTGCCGCCAAATGCGCGGGCAGTTGAGTCTGAGTCTGAGTCTGAGTCTGAGTCTGAGCTTGTTCCAAACCGTTCGTTGCGTTTCTGTAGGCTGGGTCAGATGAACTCGCAGAATGTCGTCTCACCCCTCTTCACTTACGCCATGGAATGTCTCACAGGTGTAGCGCAGCCAATCAGTCGTGTGCGCCAGAACGGCCCTTTCTGTGTGCGCGTAGAATCTGACTCATGCCTCTCGTATCATCCCCATAGGGTTGTACGGGGTGAACGCGCACCATATAGGCAACTACCTAATTCCTTATGCTTTATTGGGTAATGCCAGCTATGCTGTAATGTCTCAACCTGTCATCGCATCACCGTATGGTATCAAAAAGCGCAATGGCCGGGCGAGAGCGGCCCTTTGCCAGCATGTCTCGCCCTCGTAATGTCCCCGTGCGGACGGTCTCGCTTTCTGCAACCGATGCCCGCAGTTAATCTGGGCTGACCTGGGCATCAGGGTAGTTGATACAAATAAAAACATTTTAACACCTTTCCGATACTTCGGACAGTAGTAAAAATTGATAATTGACACCAAAAGTTCGTATGGGCACGGATGTCTTCTGAGCCCCTGGTCTGGAGACAGCCTCTTCGCTTCAAATTCACCATCGAAGCGACGTGCGTGGCTGTCTCGACGTCTGCCTTGCGCATATGTTGTGAAGCTGACAACGATTTGTGCATCTTCGGCAGTGTGATAACGACGGCGACATCGAATACGAGTTTTCCTGCTACAACCGCGTGGCGGCCGTGGACGGCGTGTGGGACGTTCCGCCGTCGGTTGGCACCAAGCTCTGCTACGGGGGTGTGCTGCTGCGCCGACCGCCGGCCGCCGGCCAGCTCACGGCGCCGTTGCTGCCCCGCCTCCAGGTGAGCCCCAGCCAAGCCCGAGCCCGAGCCCGAGCCCGAACCCGAACCCGAACCCGAACCCGAACCCGAGCCCGAGCCCGAGCCGAAGCCCGAGCCCGAGCCCGAGCCTGAGCTCGAGCCCAGCCGAGGTCGAGCTCGAGCTCAGCCAAACCCATCCCAGCCACACGGTTCTGCCCTCTGACAGGTCTCCGCAAAGTGTCATGTAGCCCCGCGGGCTTTCAACACACCCGCCCGGAACGGCCGGCGCTCTGCGATCCATTGCGCCGCCGGAGCCTGACAATGTGCAGATGCACAACCCTGCCACGATCTCCTGCAGCTGATGCTTCAGCGCGGTGCCGTCAGGTTCAGCTACGCTGCTTCGCCCAGGAGTACGCGGAGGCCGAGCTGGAGCTGTACCAGTGGTCAGACGGCTCCAAGCTCTGTGCTGACCGGTTGGAGGCCCTGCTGACGCCGTCGGCCGACGGCCGGGACCTGGAGCTCAAAGTGCGCGGGCCCGCTGACGCGCGCGACGCTTGCTTCTACCTGATGGAGGACCTGCTATCCGCCTTGGAGCAGGTGCGGTCTGGGCAGATGTATTTTTGGACTAACGCCATGTGTTGTGTGCTATGATTTAACTGCGAAACAGAGTCAGGTGTTGTGATTTGACCCTTACCCTAATTAATTGTTTTTAATCATGTGGACTGATATAACGTATAAGGAAGACAGAGCTTAGCGGAAAACACCAGCGGATTGGTTTCAGCGAGAGCTCGCGATTGGTAATACGATATCTGTTTCCATGTCAATAATCCATCCCATTATGCCAGGTTAAAGGCCATTTTTTCCGAAAATCAAAGTTTTCAGTTTTGCATGCTCATATGTACGGGACCATGCCTCTTGGCGATATAAAACTCTACGAACGAACAAACTTAAGGAAACGGAACGAAGTACGCATGTTCTTGATCAGTTATGAGTACAAGTGCACCCGCCACCCGCTCAGGCCGTAGATTGCCGTTTAGTGTCAGGGGCGCCACTTTGCATGCTTTTGGGGAAATGAGCCTCCCAATGCTGACATGATATAAAGGACGATTAACTTGAAACAAAGACCGACTGATATAAAGAAAAAGCGCCCAGTGACTCCATGAACTACCTCAAAGCAGATCAATAAATAGGGAATACTGTGTCCAATAAATACAGAACAATAAATAACCTTGCTATCGGTATACTAGGCAGTAAGTACCTGAGCACTATATATGACGCTATTAGTATCACAGATAACACAGTAGTAATGGCTCTATTCCTCGGGGAAAAAACAGGAGAATGCAGATATGGTTGGGTTGATGTTCCGACAACCTGCCTTCATCGAAACAATAGCAGAGGTGAATTAAAATTGCCTGCTGATGATCCTATTCAATTTTAAGATTTTCCTTGAAATAGCAAGCCACAGTTTTTACAGGACACCAGTATTTAGGGAATTAAACAAACAGCGATTGCTAGCCATTATCGCGACGCAGTGCCTCTCTAAGAATTAGAATACGCGAACATACGTGTGCATGCAAACGAATTCAGGCAAATAGTCATCGCGCATCACGCTTCATTCAAATATGCAAGCGAGTTGAAGAAAACAGGCATCACACATCACGCACCAGTTATACATGCAAGCGATTTCAATTGAACAGGCATCGCACATCACGCGTCAGGCATCACACATGTACGCGATTTTAAGCTAGGACACATCACATATAGAGCCACATATCACGTTCGCATAATTGGCCATGATCAGCCCTGTGTGTCAGGATTTTGTCACCGACTTTTTATAAGAATAGATTTACTTATTTTCCTGTCTGGGTGGTCCTGTGCTCTGTAGATGGCTTTGAGCTCGCTTTTAGACGGTCCTGCATCTAGAGTTATAGGGATGCCAATGCTGACTTGATATAAAGGACGATTGACTTGAAACGAAGACTGACTGATGTAGAGAAGAAGCGCCCAATGCCTCTCTTACAATTAAACAGGCATCGCACATCACGAGGTTATTTTTCCGTATTTATTAGGTACCTACTACCTACTACCTATTGTAACAATAATAAGGTTATTGTTCTGTATTTATCAGGCACAGCATTTTCTCTTTACTTCTATGTTTTGAGCTCAAAGTCAAAGTCCTTACAACACGATTTTGACCTCACATGTTTCACTCTTTATCAACGCCGTAATTTTTTTTAAAATCATTATTCGAAATTACATGATCAAGGCATTCCTTTTCCTCCCATTCCTTCCTATATGGTTTCTAGACTGCTTAACTGTCGCCAGATGCTCGAGACTGAGCGATTCGCGGTCATGGTGACGGTCAGCTAACCAGCCCCTCTGCCGGGTCTGTTCACGGCGCCATCGTTGCCAAGGCGCACGGCCGCCAGCAGCGCTATACCAGAGCAGAGCCATATCAGAGCTACGCCGGAGCTTAACATGCGATGCTGCTAAACAGGAGAACTAGGGGGACGTTATTAGTCAGCCGTTAATAGTCTATGAAATGGTCATCAAGGCCAGTATTGTTTTAGCTGTAAACAACGGGAACCCCTATGTTTTAGTCCTCTGTGTCCTCTATGTCTTAAATGTCCTTTGTTTCAGGCTCGCTAAATCCTACTTAATCACGATGTATACTGGTCTGATTGTCCATTTCGACGTTCCGGTGAACTTACCCCGAAAGAATGTATACGGTGTTTATTTCAAACGTACGAAAAACGCAATTTTGGACGCCCCAGGCACCAAATAGCAGCACTGCTGGACCCACCACGCAACTGGCGCCTGACTGGGACGATAGAGCAGCTTTATGACCGCTGTTTGACGGGCCCCGTGCCCGCCGTGACCTTCGGCCCCTCGCACCGGCAGGTGTTCGCTGAGGTGAGTCCGGGCCTGCTGGTGGAGCGGCACTACCTGTCTCCGAGCGACCTGCGACGCCACCTCCGCCAGCCGCAGCCGCACCCGCCGGCGACGCTGGCGGCGCTGCTGCTGCAGGGCGGGTCGTGCGCGCCGCCGCCGGCCGGCACCGCCTCGCTTGCCGAGCTGCTGTGCTTCGACAGCGCGCAGCTGCTCGACGCTGTGTGCTGGCCAGCCGAGCTGGCTGTATGCTGTGTGCCAGCAGCGGTGCGGCAGCGGCTGTGTGCCGCGCTGGACCCGGCCGATGCGCTGGGCCGTGACTGGTGTCTGCTGGCCGTGCAGCTGGGTCTGACCGAGCGGCTGGCGCGGCTCGACGCCGGCGACAACCCGGCGGTGAGTCGGACGGCGCGCCTGCTGGCCGAGGTGGCGTGCCTGCCGCTCGGCCGGCTGCACGCGGCGCTGCTCCAGATCGGCCGGCCTGACGCCGCCGCGGAGCTGGCGGCCGGCGCGCCGCTCTTCCGGCAGCGCGTGCCGCCCGCGGGTGACGAGGGCAGCGGCGAAGAGAAGGCGGCGCTGCGCACCTCGTCTGGCTCTGCCGCCAGCTCGTCCACCGTCAGCCGCTGAGGTCCACCGTCAGCCGCTGAGGTCCACCGCCAGCCGCCAAAGTCCACCGTCAGCCGCTGAGGTCCACCGTCAGCCGCTGAGGTCCACCGCCAGCCGCCAAAGTCCACCGCCAGCCGCTGAGGTCCACCGTCAGCCGCTGAGGTCCACCGCCAGCCGCCAAAGTCCACCGTCAGCCGCTGAGGTCCACCGTCAGCCGCTGAGGTCCACCGTCAGCCGCTGAGGTCCAGCGCCAGCCGCCAAAGTCCACCGCCAGCCGCTGAGGTCCACCGTCAGCCGCTAAGGTCCACCGTCAGCCGCTGGGGTCCACCGCCAGCCGCTGAGGTCCACCGCCAGCCGCCAAAGTCCATCATCAGTCGCTGAGGTCCACCATCAGCCGCTGAGGTCCACCGCCAGCCGCCAAAGTCCATCGTCAGTCGCTGAGGTCCACCTTCAGCCGCTAATGCCCACCCGGAAGTCGCCTAGGGTCCCTTGAACTTTACTTTTGAATTTTTGACTGGAGTCCACTACCTGCCACTGACTTTCACTGAGGCCCAACGTGAGCCGCTGATGCTGCTGACCAGAGCCCGTGAGTTGTTCCATCACGTTATTTAGATAGTCTGACCTGCTGCAAGGAGAAGTATGCTGCTGGATATCATCATCCCTAGCTAACAAAAAAAAAACGGATTTTCCATCATCTGCACAATCTCAGCTCACCGCTACCGGTGTTCGTCGGGCACGCCTTTATAAGGGCACTTGAGGGCGGTACGTCGATGGTGACGTTGGAAAATGCTTGAATACAGCTGAGTGAAGACAGGACGTTATTTAACAATAGTAATGCGAGGCGAACGCAATGCAGGCGATGGAGGCATGCATGATCTACCTGTGATTATAAACATAATGTTGGCGTGTATTAACGGTGTAGAATTACGTGTTTTCGAATAAAAAGCGTGTTTGCATGTTGTGTTATCCATTGCTCTCCTCAAACCATTATTTCTGCGGCGGGCAACATTATTAATTAAGTTTCAAAAAACCTCCAAGCTTGATCACCAAGATTGGCCGAATAATTTCTCGGTTGTTACCTGCAAAACCAGTTTTACAGTTACAGTTGCAGTTACTTTATTTAAGGCGCATCCACGTGGTGGTTGTTCTGTTCTTAGTCATACAAGAAAAAAGAGCCCACACACAGTACAGGAATACACACATACGCCTGGACGCACAGTTTTAGTCAATGAGTCGGCGATTAACAACGGTCAAGAATGCCTGGCGCGAGGGGGCGCGGACGGTGCCGCCTGCCGCAGGCAGCCGTCCGCGACGGGTGGTGGGGGCGCGGACGGAACCGCCTGGTGGTGGTGGGGGCGCGGACGGAACCACCTGGTGGTGGTGGGGGCGCGGACGGAACCGCCTGGTGGTGGTGGGGGCGCGGACGGAACCGCCTGGTGGTGGTGGGGGCGCGGACGGAACCGCCTGGTGGTGGTGGGGGCGCGGACGGAACCGCCTGGTGGTGGTGGGGGCGCGGACGGAACCACCCGGTGGTGGTGGGGACGCCGACGGAACCACCCGGTGGTGGTGGGGGCGCGGACGGAACCGCCTGGTGGTGGTGGGGGCGCGGACGGAACCACCTGGTGGTGGTGGGGGCGCGGACGGAACCACCTGGTGGTGGTGGGGGCGCGGACAGAACCGCCTGCCGCAGGCACCCGGTTCCATGCGGCGGCAGCGCGGTGCGGAACGTGCCGCTGTGTGGCGCTCGGTTGGACGTGTGGCGGATGAAGCGAGTCGACACCACCCGAAACGGTCCGAGTTTTGCGTTGGGAAGACTCGGCGCGCGTCACGAAAAGAGTACGCAGTGCACGGGGAGATTCGGAGACTTGTAGTGCCCCGCACACATTCAGGCGGTCCCGGTTGTGCACAAGATCCGTGACACTACGCCAGCCAGCCTAGTGTGAGGTTAGTGCGCCCCTAATAGCCGCACAAGTCGAGGCATCGTCACGGCGAACGGAGCGTTTGTCGCTAGTCTTCTAGTCTTTAGTCGCTAGTCTTCTAGTCTTTAGTCGCTAGTCTTCTAGTCTTTAGTCGCTAGTCTTCGCTAGTCTTCGTTGGATTGAAGAAGTTCAATGAATGTTCTGGGTACCTGAACCCTCATTCGCTATTTTTTGTATTTTTCGATATTATATATATATGGATATATATATATATATATATATATATATATATATATGCATGCATGCAACCCAAGCACCCCTTTACATCTGACACAAAACGGAAGGTAAATATTGATGAAACCTCGCTTTAGATCAGTTAACCGTGTATGTTTGGTCAACCGAAGCCCTTACCACGCCCGCTAATTTGCATTTGAGAGAAGCCCTGGCATTTGAACATCAAGCTTGTCCAATGAATAAAAAGCATGACCCGACAGTTCTGCCATCAAAATCAGAAAGTGACCGTTGGGTTCCACGCGTGTTGTTAAATCGCAGGTGGTCCTAAATCGCCCTGGGTGCATTTAATCATAAGTAGGTATACTAACGTAATTTATGCTTGTCCCATGCGTGCTCCCTTCACCATGTAGGGCAAAGAAGCGCTTGCGCGCTTGCTTCGCTGCGCTAAGTGAAAAATTTAGAAACTTTATCATGTATCTTTTGCAGTTGGAATCACGGTTATAGGTGCACTGTTTGCCGAGATATCGCGCAAAAATTGAAACAGACTCGGATGCAGAACGCGAGCGGTGCTGGCGGTCTCTGGCGGCCGCTGGCAGGAGATAGTGCATTTTGCCTGCGCTCTCTGCAACACAGCCCAACCTATTCCATGGGATGAGCGAATGATTGTGGGGTGTGGCCGGTGGTTTTTGCCCCTTCCATCAACTGTCAGCCTTTTGAATGATGGCAGCGCGCACTGTCGTTGTATTCAACTTTATTGCGTCGTATCGAACAGTGAACAACGGTCGGTAGCGGCCAAATCAATTTTCCTGGCTCGCGCATACGTGGCGCTACAATCCATACCACGTGATTGTCTGTTTGATTCCCCATCGATCCATACAGCACGTGCGACGTAAGAGTTCATGCGACGCCATTATCTATTCGATTTCTTATCAATGCGAACCACTCCCCAGTACCTCCGTGCCCGTGGCACCGAGATGTGGCACAAATCGTATAAACCCATGGAAAAGAGCAAAAGCCATCTTTCTGGCTCGTGTGTGCCCGACACGTGTAACGTGCCACGCCGCACTTGACACATGTGGCCATGGGATTTCCCGTTCAATGGCCATCGCATCATGCCAGTCTCGTGTTACTACGTGCCCGGAGCGGAAATCCCATGTAAAACGTACAAATGCACGAAATCGGCAAAATGCGGTCTTACAGCTAGTGTGCACGTGTCACATGACAAGTGCAGCGTGACATCGAACACGTTTTAGTGATTGTCCGTTAGACCACCTATCGAAGCATGCCAGTCGCTGTGCACTTTATTCCCTGGCTTCTGAGATATCACGAAAACGTGCAAGCCCCTCAAAAGACCGAAATTTGTAAATTCATAGTTCAACACATAGGCGCCATGACATGTGGCACGTATCACCAAACATTATCATCACGTGCCTTCCATTCATCATTGAAGCGCGCCAATCCCCTGTGTGTTAGTGCCATAGGTGCCAAAATGTGGCACAAAAGGTGCGAATCCGTGGAAGAGGGCAAAATCCATCTGTGATCCGTGCCATGTGATACGTGTGATCGTATCATTTAGATTATTTCAACTTCGCATCCTGCAAGTTGTCGTGCAATTTGCAGCGCAACGGTGCGTTGCAGAAACTCGCGATGCGGCTAAAAGGGTACCCGCGTCAGTTGTGAATGTTGGGAAACAAAAGTAACGCCTGTGCGCGCACGGCGACCGCGACGCACAGCGCGCCGCCGACCGCCATGCCTGACCCGAGCTCGCCCCCGCCGACTGTCACCCGCTGGCCCACTGCCGCCGTCTTGATTTCTGTGTTTTAAAAGCATAACTCACTGCTGTGGAATGTTTAAAGCGAGCTGGATGATTGTCGAATTTGACCGTGTCCCGAGAAAATTTCACTAACCATTAGTTCACGATGATAAACGTTACACTCCCAGCCGATTTTGCATTCTCTTTTAGAAATGTGAAAATGAACTATCAATAGTTGCATTGCACGGTACAACATATCCCTGCCCATATCCCATATTCAGAAATGTGAAAAGTTACAGGCAGTGGTCAAACTGTGTGGCACAAGATCTCCCTATAAAGATGCTTTACCTCTCTTCGACATTTAGGTGCGAATGGGCGTTTCGTGAGAATGTGTTACATGTATTGAAGCAAAATGTGCCAGTCATCACGCACATTACAATTCTATGTGTATTCCGGGTGTTGTTTTCGTATTGGGACTCTTTCGAAACACGTTCGTGAATTATTCACTTGTAAATGGCAAAGTGAGTTGCATCATTCATTTCACTAATTAGGACTGTTTTCGTTGCAAAACGTTGTCTGGTTACATCCATGGCTTAATGATGTTCGCCTTTCACTGGGCTCTAGAACAATGTTGCCGCTTGAAGAGTCATTGAAATGAGGTCAAAGCCATTCGCTCATTGGCACCCTGTTTTTATCCGTGCACTGCATCCGCTGTATGAACGCAGGTAACCCATGCTCCATGCTCCCACTAGACCCAGTGTTTTGGCACATAATCGCACACGTCGGCAACCGACAGGCGAATCCATTGGCGCAGCGATGGGGGGCAGCTCATCACACGGGACAGCTCCCGGGAGAACTTCACCCTGGACAGCCCCCGGGAGAACTCCAACCTGGACAGCCCCCGGGAGAACTTCACCCTGGACAGCCCCCTGGAGAACTCCAACCTGGACAGCCCCCGGGAGAACTCCAACCTGGACAGCCCCCGGGAGAACTCCAACCTGGACAGCCCCCGGGAGAGCGCTTCTCGGTGAGCTGCCACCCCGGACAGGCCCCGCGAGAGCGCTTCTCGGTGAGCTGCCATGCATGCTTCGCAACACCCACCACGGTGAACAGAGCACAGCACTGCGATTCGTACCGCACAGCTTGGCGATCGCATTCTCATACTGCATACTCAATTTCAAGGACTGAATCTATGACTAAAAAAGCGTTCAAGCGGCGAACAGGTCTGATTACGAAGAGTATATATGGATCCACACAGATCACGAAAAACTGAAAACTTGGCACCGCCTCGCGTTGACTTCAGCTTCAGTTCGTTACAGGAGCGCGAGTAGAACAGATCGCACACGTCGAACACGGTAACATCTCGTGGTCGCGCGCACTGGTAAACCGCACACACGACCATTGACCGCACACACTGTTGAGCGTTGGGAATGGGTCATCAAACTCGACCGCCCCCACGGAAGGGTTTCTCGGTGAGTTGTCATGGAGTTTTTCCAACACTCAACAGGTCGCACAAATCACTGCACCGTGCTCCGTTCTTTACGGCCCAGTGATGAGGTTATTATACGGTCTTATCGGTGAAAGAAATATTACCAAAGATTTGTTTGCACTCTATTTCCTATTCAGCGGTTTTACTTTGGTTTCCCCAGCAACAAGTCGAAAACTGCCACCGCGAAAAACATATTTGGATCTAAACAAACGAAAGCTGAAATGTTGTCGATTTTGCCATGAGGTCAGTTCTGCGATAATAAAATGAAATTTGGCTTCGGCCACAATACTATGGACCAAGACGCTGCCCTACTGGAAACCTTCCTACAGCCTGCTCGCCTCCTGCTGAGGCCGCGATTTCGCAGAATTATTACAGGCTGCAGGAAACTCATGGAAACAAGAAAGACACCAAATGCACCAAGACGGCGTGCAACCCTTTCCACGCGTTTAGCTTTTAATAGTTGTCGTGCTAGTGCGCTCCCTTTAACTCGTACCATCAGTAAATTGGCGCCCTCCACACGTGACGTGAGAAGGAGGAAAGGGGTTTCTATGGTGGGTAACCGAAACGTAACAAGAGAGGAAGGGATTTGGACAGCGGAGCATTATGCCGAGGAGTGGTTACAACTCATGCCAAAGCCTTTTTATAACGTTCCAAAATCTCAAAGTATGATATCATTGGCTTTCTATGACAAACTGCGCAACCATTTTTGTTTCGCACCTCTTACTATATCAGGCTGAAATGGATGTCACCTTTTAGAGCCGTTACGCCCAATACCACATAACCAGGGAGGTGTTTTCCTGCAGGATAACCAGTGAGTGGGAATGTTAAAAATGCTAAGTCCTGGCCTTGAGTTATAGACAGCCCTTTAAATACATATTTAGGTATATATATATATATATATATATATATATATATATATATATATATATATATACATATATATATAGATATATATAGATATAGTGGAATGGCTACAAATTATGCCAAAACCCTTGCAAAACGTTTGAAAATCTTAAAGTCTAATCCCATTAGCTTTTTCACGATCAACTGCGTGACCATTTTGTTTCGCACCTCAGACTACATCATGGTCAAGCTGACGTCACTTTTTTAGCGTTTCGCTTAATGCCGCGCAACCAGGGAGGGGTTTCGCCCACGGTAACCAGTGTGTGGAAATGGCGAAATGTTTAACTTTTTATTGGGAGCGCCGCAACTCTGATCAGCATGGGAATAAAGCTCTGATGAAGTGTGGTTTCTGCGCAGGTGCCAGGTGCCGTGCTGGGTGTAAAGACCGTCACTTCCAACTATGCCAAATGGCGAAGATGACATAGTGCATATTTGCACACCGGTGCAAAACACAAATTGTTTCACCAGAAAACCTGCCGAGGTGGCGGATTCAGGAACCTTGGGCCACATTCACCGGCGTTCGGAAACGATGTTTATGCGCGCCACTTTTACCGCACTTGCGTAAACCTGAGCACATCGCGTGCGCGAGCCTTAAATCCGGGGAAAGAAATTTGGTAGACAATGCCCGCCGCCGAAAAAAGTGCAAATTACGGAGGACAACAAGGTTTGAAACCTTGAAATATGATGAAAAAATGTTTGAAAGCAGTTATGGTCTAACGGAACTTGACAGCAGGCGCTAAACTCGATCAACATAACGCAACCAGAATTGCAGCCATGCCGAGAAACATTATTCCCTACGCTCCCTTCACCCAGCTTTTCACACTATGTTCATATTTCCACACTACAGCTCGTTATATATCTTAATACTCTTTACGCCCAGCGCACATCCCGCAAGCGCGCAGAGGCTCGACGGTTGCCCCCCCCCCCCCCCCCTTCCCTCCCCAGGCACATGTAGCCCTGCTCCACCGTGATCCACTCTCCTTCATCCCATAGCTCTGAAATGATCATTACTGGTCGAAAGGGCTCTTATCCAAGTAGCCACTAACCAGTGTTTATACTTTGCGAAGGGGATACTGCCCTATGGGTCCTTAAGACATCCGTGACGGTCCAGCCATTCCCTGACCGCAGCTATGTTGAAACCCCAGGGCCCAGGATCACCGAGGTACTCGCATACACCACGGCGCACCCACCGCCAGACGGTCGGGGAAGCCGTTGAATGCGGCGCTCCGCCTGGTCGTCCATGGTCGTCCAGGTAGACGCAGTTGCGGTCGATGCCCTCCTGCTCCACCAGCCAGCGGGCGGCGGCGGCGCGCTCCTCCAGGCTGGCGTGCGTCTCGATGTTGACGCCCGCCTGGCCGGCCGGGCCGAAAGTGCTGCGCGTCCACCGGGTGCGCTTCACGCAGGTATATGAACGCGAAGGTCGGCGCGGCCACGTGCCTCGGCGACGAGCCGCAGCAGCGCGCCAACCTGGTTTATGTACGGGGGGTCAGGTGGCCGAGCCGAATACCAGCACCAGCGGCCGGTCGGCCGCGCTGCAGCTCCAGCAGCCGCGGCCGCCGCTGCAGATCCAGGCTCACGAGCCGGGGGTCGGGCGAGCGCTGGCCCCTGCACCGCCTGCTTGCGGATCTCGGCTACTGCCATGCTCCACCAGAGCATCACCAAGGGCCACTTGGCGGATTAAAACCGAGTCGTCGAACTTGTACTTGGCATTTCTGAAAAGTAAACAGGGTGTCACTGCGGACATGGTCAGGAAATTGTAGCATACAGTGCAGTTGGCTGGTAAGCTCAGAAGAGGCTGGCAGCCAGAACGCTTAACAGACTGGGTCAACCCGCGGGTGGGTGGGCCGGATCTGCAGGACGGGTTGGAGCGGATCAGAAAAGCTGGACAACACACAGATAAGGACCGGATCTAACTTCAGAATTTGCCAAGCCGACATTCAATTCACAAAAACGTTCAAGTCTAGTTACGAATCTCAAATATGTTTAAAGAAAAAGCATCCTAGATTATTGAGGTCACTGAGTGGATTACTTCAAAAAATTGCCTGCTAACCAATGAATACAGCAGCATAATAGCAGTTTCCTCCTAGAACTGCTGACAAGGCAACACCATACAAGGAGGAATTTGTCACTCCTTTTCCCATATTTTATGTGAATTTGTCACTCCTACCTGATATGTATAACTACAACACACGAAACCCATATTTTCTTTCAGACGTTTTAAGATGTTATCCAAAACCAAGCTCGCTTGAAGCCGTCAAGCATACACAAGGCTCCACAGAACCTAGACACTTGAATTTGTCTAGCTCTTTGAATTTGTCAGCTCTTTGAATTTGTGTGATATCTCGGAATCACCAGAGCACGCACATGCAAATTTACCGGAACTTTGAAAAATATCACAAAATATTAACTCTCGCCCTGATTCCCTTTGCCATCATGCATACTGGCAGGAGGGTCAACGCGAGCGCTCTAGAAGAATGCCTAACATGCCTTTCCAAAGCAAAGAGAGAGTAGAGATAAGAAAAAAGGACCCCTTGGATTGAGGCTCAGCAAGTCGTGCGATTGGTGGTGGCAAATTCGTTTATTTTAGGCCAATAATTGATACATCATGCCAGGCTGAATGTCAATTTTCCCGAAGAAGTACTTTTCATTTTTCATGTTAATGTCTACCGGACCATGCTTCGTATGCAAACGAAATTGAAACTGGCATGCTCATTGTGCAATTCTGAGTACAACAGTGTGTGGTTGTATTGGTTGTGGCCTTACATGTGTGGTGTATGGGTTCGTTCATATCACAAGTTGGACGTGCTCCGCGGCGCGCTCGCGACCCCGTCCATTGCCGTCCCCAGCCCGTTCAGGCCATACATCGCTGTGGGCGTGCTCCGCGCGCGCTCGCGACCCCGTCTATTGCCGTCCCCCGTCCGCTCAGGCCATACATCGCTGTGGGCGTGCTCCGTGCGCGCTCGCGACCCCGTCCATTGTCGTCCCCCGCCCGCTCAGGCCATACATCGCTGTGGGCGTGCTCCGCGCGCGCTCGCGACCCCGTCCATTGCCGTCCCCCGTCCGCTCAGGCCATACATCGCTGTGGGCGTGCTCCGTGCGCGCTCGCGACCCCGTCCATTGCCGTCCCCCGCCCGCTCAGGCCATACATCGCTGTGGGCGTGCTCCGCGCGCGCTCGCGCCCGTCCATTGCCGTCCCCCGTCCGCAGCAGGCCTACATCGCTGTGGGCGTATCCGTGCGCGCTCGCGACCCCGTCCATTGCCGTCCCCCCGCCCGCTTAGGCCATACATCGCTGTGGGCGTGCTCCGCGCGCTCGCGACCCCGTCCATTGCCGTCCCCGCCCGTTCAGGCCATACATCGCTGTGGGCGTGCTCCGCGCGCGCTCGCGACCCCGTCCATTGCCGTCCCCCGCCCGCTCAGGCCATACATCGCTGTGGGCGTGCTCCGCGCGCGCTCGCGACCCCGTCCATTGCCGTCCCCCGCCCGCTCAGGCCATACATCGCTGTGGGCGTGCTCCGCGCGCGCTCGCGACCCCGTCCATTGCCGTTCCCCGCCCGCTTAGGCCATATATCGCTGTGTTGCCTTCCTAAAAAACTACGACTGTTCCAAGGCCGGAGATGCTTATGAAGACGGTTCAAATGCCCAAACACATGCGATGGATGTCCTATTGATGGTATTGATGGATGTCCTATTGATGGTATTGATGTGAAATTGGACGCGATTGCGCGACATGCCAGAGAGGTATCCTCCGAAAACATTCGGGTGGAGAGCGACGCGCCCTCCTACCCCTCTCCGCATCAGGACGAGGGGTAGAATGCCACCGATGGATCTGAATTGGTAGTTGCAGTTCAACCAGGGATCGTGAAATGCACAGGATTGCTATCTGTCTGATGTTTAAGTAATCAAATGCTGGATATTTCATTTCATTACGTTCATGCACTATGCTTTTACATTACATGTGTATTGCGCTAGGTAATTCAGGGCCATAACAATCCATACAGGATTCGGAATGTTCGATTTGTGTATCAGATATAGGATGTGATATACTTTCATGCAAGTCAGGTTATTAATGGAATCGATCAGTTGGTAGTAATTGATTCTTGTAACAGCCACGATGCTTCAAACTGGTCTACGCATTGTTGGATTTCCTGTCCCGGCGGAAAACTATCTGTGATTTGTTAAAGCGAAGCAATTATGCACGTTGAGCTGCCAAATTTGGCTGTTCATGGTGATAGAAACAAAAACGTGGGTATGGATTGGCTGGATTATTTAAAGACAATATTTGCTAAGACGGACAGGACCAGATTGGATTTAAGATGGAAAATAAATAAAAACTGGATAAGCGAGCGGATTGGAGTTGGGAGACCTGGAATGGACCCGACTGGATTCTACAGTCAATTCATGAGGTGCTCTATTTGCAACTCATTTGCAGCACCTTATAAATATTGCCGACAGACTGCTGCTACACAACTACGTGGTTCGTTTGTACGTATGGTCCACGACAGCTCAGCAATAGCGTTTATTCAGGAGGTCTCGTCGAAACTTTGGAGGGTATTGTCACGTCTGTTAGGATAGTGCAAAAACACTACACACCTGAATTCTGGTCTCTCTACAAAGCGCTAGGTGTTGTACTTACATGTTGTAAACCACGATCGACGAGGCGCCTCGGCGATTCGGCGGCTAAGGCAACTTACGGGAAAGT